TTTTTTTTAGTAGAGTAGTTGCGTGAATAGTTAATCAAAGAGACACAAGAATATTTGAAAAATATAATGGTGCTGGACTCAAAATACTAAAAACCATCAAATTTCTGGTAAAAATGTTTTAGTAGAAAAAGCTCTACAAAATTGAATATATCAAAATAGAAAATTTTCAGTTCACTGTATTTTGTATGATTCACTACTCATAGAAGTACCCGAGCAAATAGTGTTAGATTTCAGGTATGTTAATAAGCTGATGATTCAGTAACATAATATCTTTTATTTCTTTTGTCTTAATATGAAGCAAAAAAACAGGAATTTTGAAACTCATTAAATTAAATAAACTCATCACACATTCCACTTTCTTTTCTAGAATACTCAATTTCTATCCTATATTTTATGTTAAATATCAAAATAAAATTTTGTTTATTTTATTTTTTTTATGCTCTGTTTTTTTTTATTAGTGGTTTAACATACGAAGTTTTGCGCAAATTTTATCTATACAGTTAACTGAACAGAAGTGTTTGTTTTTTATTTGTGTATTATACTTCGTGATCTCATAAATAAACTCATATGTTATTGTTAAAACAAACAAAACCAGTATATTATTATTATTATTGATTGTATGCATCATATCTTTTCTTTTAACGGATAGGTAGAAAGTTTTGAAGAAAATATTTGTTTATTTTTGGCTCTCTTGAACGTCTTTAGGATCCGCATATTGTGCACTTTCTGAATATGAATTTAGAAATTTTATTTCAGTTTTTGTTCGAGAGAGAGAAGTGAAAGAATTTTTTAGAGGATCAAAAAATTTGTTTAAATGATGGACCAATAGGCTTTGGTAAATTCATTTTCGGACGTGCTAAAAAATATTTGTCAAGCGGGTACTTCTTTATAAAATTTTATATTGAACTAACCTGTGGTTTTTACCTAAGTAAAACTCCTAGACACGTTGTCAAGAGCTTCTTGGGATCTGAAAACTATCGTGCCCTAATTTTTATTAGAAATCTTATTATCATAGTTCATCTATAAAATTATTATTTGGATTTGAGCTAATTGCTTAACATTATAGAAAAGAAAATATATTGTTGTTGTTGTTGTTACAGATTTTTCTGTCACCTTATTCCAAATCATTTTTTATTTTTTCAATATTTTTGTGCACCATACATATAATGACACATTTTGATATTATCGATAATATAAACTATCATCGAACGAACACCATCTTGCATATCATATTGTATTTTTCAAGTGGATACTTTATAAAAAAAGCTACTAATATTGATATTCGGACATGAATATGAGACAAGCTGTGCAATGTTTTCTTTCATTTTAAAAGAAGGAAACGAGTCGAAAAGAAATCATTGTATGACACGAAAGAAATTTTAAACAAATTTTTTTTTACTTCTTTAACATTACAGTATGCATCGAATTACTTGTCGAAGCATTTTTATTACCATTATCATCATTATCTTTGCCAAGTAAGTATTAATAAATAAGACATAAGAAATTTTTATTTCATTTAATTTTTAAATAAAGTTTTACATCAATTTCTTCAAATTCTCAATTTTGTTCCACTTTACAAACAACAACAAAACAAGATGAATGTCCTAATCCATCATCATTTGATATTTTGGAAGAAAATTCTAAGCCATTATCATCATGGAAATTAAATATTCCCGTTAGTTAAATATTAGTCTTGTGTTATAAAAGGATGTATTTTTTAATGTATTATATATAGGTATTGACAAGTAACAACGATAGTTATATTATTGAAGAACTAACAAAACGTTTTAATCAAGGAGATTCTTGTCCCTATATACGGTAAGTGTAAAATATGAATTATCTTCCAATTCAAAGTGGTAACATATGATACGTTCATTTAGTAATGTAGCAATATTCTTTTCTTGCTGTAGGTATCATTCTACAAAAGTTTAGTTCTTTTGAACTATAAGACATATAAAAATTTTATTTTCTAGTAAATGAAAATTTACCTATAGTAGATTTCAAAATAAGAATTCAATCTTTGATGTGAAGAATTTTTGTTGTTATTCAAATATGTATGCTGAGTTATGTCATGAGAATATCGAAATTTTTAGAGTGATTGAACGATTTTTCTTTCTACTCTGCTATGGAAAAACTTAATTTTCCACGGATTGCAATGGAATAAAGGAACGAATAATATTCCTATCTGTCGGTATAAGGCGCTGCCTAGTGGCATATTCAGTAGCCCGATATCTTTCCTATCATTAATACTAGCTGTAGCTCTGAACAAAAGATCGATCCGCCCTCTCCATACATACTAACCAAACACAAGAGCAGGTGTACATCACAACGTAGTCAACATAGTATCGGACAGGGGATTCGAGAGACATAGCCGGTAATGATTTGTCCGAGGTCATTTCGTTGCTGGTGATATTGAGGTTTAAGCACGGGACCTTGTGGATACGTGTCAAATAGCGTAGTCACTCAGCCATGACGGCAGCAGATTGCAATGATTGTATTTGTTTCTCCTGTTAGTCGCGTTCTCCTTTATGTTGCATCGAATCTACCTTGATGTTTATCTAATGATGATTTCTAAATAATCACTTTATTGGCACTTTTCTGTGTTTATTAAAGAGTATAAAATCGACGTTCGTGGACGAATTTTAGTTCTGGGCCGCTAGATTTATGCAGAGGAAAGAAACGGCTAATGATGAATATCAGGATAACAATTCTTTCAAGTTTTGTTTGAAATAAATACATTTGCGTGCTGCCGTTTAAAATGATCTTGCAGCACTGAAACACATAAGTTCACTATTGTCAAATAATTGAAACAAAAGGTTTTTACATAAAGTTTCCTTTGAAATTACTTTTCTTTTTATACGAAGTCTAATTGTTAACTGAATCTAATCGTTAGTAGGCGTCTTGCAAGCACTATGCTTTATGTGCATTCCCATAGAAAAAATTCGAGTCACACGAAGTTCGATGTGCATAGAAGCCATTGAATAGGACAACCTCTTTGAATCTGTATATTAACATATGACGCGAAAGTCTTGGCACAAAGTATTCACTTATTTTTCGATCACCTAAAGACAACTAGTTAGAATCAGAAGCACTCAGCTAGAATCAGACTTTTTCGTTCTTTCCTTCTGGAGTAAGATTGGACAATCATCATCAGATTGTTTCAAAATAGTGGTTGTACAAAATACTGTTTTAGACAATTTTGCATTTCAGTTGAAATCTATCAAATTCAAAATGCTAATATTTTTATGGCGCAGGTTTGTAGAGCGAAAATTGCTCTGTTTGCTTTTATATTTTATCACGCATGATAGAATCTAAAGATTTTGTATTTTTAACGTATTGTAATATCTCATTTTGTACAGAATTCAGTGCTCTACAATAATTTTGAGTTGAGGGTGTTGTAAGACGCAAGCTAAAGGCTGCGTCAACACCGTTATTTTGCTTGGTATCGACACAGTTTTGAACTTTTTCAAAAACTTTACTGATAGTTGTTCAATCTCA